ACTACATGCACGATTATTCAACGAATAGTTTGTTTAAATTTCGGACTTCTTGTAGTGTAATATAGCTGGTGTGGTGTGCGTAAGTTTACTACGAAAGTGTGTACAAGCTACAAAATACACATCTGCTGTTTGATTTCACCCATAGAATTGTGTAAAGCCGCTAACAAAAAGAATTTTTACACACGAAAATACATATTCATCGTGTAAATTTACCAGAAAATTTTTAAAATAAACAAAAGTATAATCGATTTATAGTCGCATTTTTAAACGGATTTTTTAGAGTGCAGGCATTCAGACTGGTTCATAAGTAGGTATGCCATTTTAATGAGCTTTTAAGGCGTCGAAATACCGAACCCCGAATACGGGAAACATACAGGGCATTAAAATAAATAGAGAACATTTGGCGTCCCGTATAAAATAAATTAATTGCCAGGACAATTTGTCAAAAAAGAGGACTGCCCCGTATAATACAGGACGGATGGGCACCGTACCGATACGTGATCTGTTTTTACGTCACGAGTAATACGATATTGTTAAGAAAAAAACATGTAGTAGGGTGACTTGAAAATCACTCTTGAATGGTTCTTGAACAATTTAGTTTCTTAACTGACGTCCCCGCGACAGCGAATATATTTTTCTTTTGCATATTTTTCTGATTCTCCACTCCATGTTTGCGGTTCCATCATATCCTTGAAACAAGTGTGCTATAGTACACATTGCGAAAGTTTTTCAGTGCCTGAAACTGCCATTGTTTCATTCAAAATAATACTATAACTTTCAGCTATCTTTACTCTATTAATAATCTTGGCAGCAATGATATCAGAAAATGTCTGAAGGACTTGGTCCGGACTAAACGGTTAGCGTTTTTGGCGCTTTTGATGACGTTTTTCTCCAAATATTTATCACTGGACTCTATGTATTCTGAATCGAAAAAGAGCTCGGAATTTCCCATATTTTTGCAGGTCGAGTCTTAGCGCTTCTATCGTGTTCACTTCTTAGTGATAGTTCCAGCTCTGCACAAAAAAAGTTCGCTTGGATGTTTAGTCTGATCGCAGCTTACTTTCCACCACCTCTTTTTCACCTTGGGCGTTGAGACATGATACCTTCTTGTTCTCCAGAAGCAACTTGTAGTAATGAAATGGCTTTCATGACACAATTTTTCAGATACTCCTTTCCCTCATGATTTCAAAATGCTTCCTTTTCCCGTTTCCATTCTCGAAAACCTAGGCACCAATTCTCGTGGATTCTGATGACCTTCTTTTCCTACGACTTTGCGGAAGAATAAACTGCGTAGATTCAAGAAAACTGTATTCGGTTCTTTGAGCATTCAAGAAAATCAACTCAAAATTTTACCAAATTAAATTGTTGGAAAACAATCAGCAGGGTGCGCCACTTTGAGCCTACAGGAGCTACTCGGCTGCAGAGATATTTAAAACGGTCACACCGCGATCCCAGCATAGCATCTTAACGTGCATGGATTACTGTGTACTAAGTCTAAACTTCACAAAGAGGTATATAATTTCTATTTCAAATGGATAATTTTGGTCAGGAAAGGCTGCTGATAAAATGTGATCACTCCACTTCTAAACCGATGGCTCTAAACTAAAGAGCAGGGTAGGAGCGGGGATCTTCTCAGCCCAGGTGGGGTTGGATAAATCCTTGCGCCTAACCGTTGATTGCTGAGTTTTTCAAGCTAAAGTCGCTGTCATATTCTCATCTCCTTACACAGCCAGGCGGCACTCAAAGCGCTTGACGGAGCGAAGCAGCAGAACATAACAAGCAACGAAAAGGCGTACGAACTTCGCAACGCTGGAATGGTTTAGACATGCCGCTCGCTTCCTGCAAGCGTTTTATATAAGGGATTTATCTCATAATAGAAGGGCCAGGTGCATTTGTCTTACCACTTGCAGCAATACAAAGCTTATGTGGCAAAAATGGAACAAGAATCGGTCGGAAGGTATCTTCAAGTTGAAAAGAGGGTGCTTAGTCACAGCTATGAGAGTGCTGCTGAAGATGTTGCAATCGGAAGGCGCGCGTAGAGCTTAGGGGTTCACCACAATGATCTCTGCCGAAGAGCCAGAAACTTAGCGGCACTTGGTACGGGAATATCTCACACTTTGCAAACAAAGACTTAGTTCACAATTTCTCGAAGGTTTAATCGACATAGCCGAAGCAGGAGTACGGCAACTTTTGGGTTGTGCAGACTCCACACGATACGTTGAATAGGAGGCTTCTAACGTTCCGCGTGCTAGCACAAAGGCCTAGGTGTGCTACTGGGGTCACTGACAGCCACTGCAACCTAACCTTAACTACATATTCAGCTGGGCGAATCGACGATTGAGCAAAAGGTTAGAAACATTAGCCAATTATTCTGTGAACTTACCAATTTGAAAACAATACCATATTAAACCAAAATGAAATGAGAACAAAGCAGTTTTATGTTGTTTTTTCCTCTTTTAAGTATGTATATATAGTGTTCGTGTGTGTTTTATTTCAGAATAAAATTGCAATAAATACATTTAAAATAAAAATAGGCGCACGTAAAACAATAATTAATTAAAATTAAGTAAACTAATCAGCTGTATACAACAAAAAAGGAAATATTTTCAATAAAGTTTTTTTTTTGTTATTTTTTTTTTTTTTGTTTGTTCTGACTGTGTTGACTATCATTTACGCTTGGAATTTTCGCAAAATACTTAATGCAATAGTCAATAATTTTTTATGATATTTTTTTAGCTTCTTGTTTGTAATACAATATTATCGAAAAGTGTTGAATATATGTACATACATACATGTAATTATTAAATTTCTTGAATTGTATGCAGTTTGTAGACTAAGTTTTGTTTTCAGTTTTCGGTTTTTTGTTTGTTGGTTTTTGTTTCATTTGCTTTTGTATAGTATTTCGCACAAGTATTGCCTTTTTATTTTTATTTTTATTTTAATATACGCAAATATGTGTATGCAATATCAATGTTTTATTTGATTTAAATATTTTAATTGCTAACATACATTTTGATTTTTTTTTAGTAATTTTAATTTGATATTAAAATTTTTATTTTTTTGTTTTTGTTCGTATTTTATTTCTTTACAATTTATGTCCAATTTAATGTTTAAATAATTTTTTTAAATATGTGAATGTTTTTTTTTTAATTTTTAATATTTACAAATAATTAGTTTCGAACTTAATATTAAGATCACTGGAAAACAATTGTCGCATATTTTTTTCTGTCTTTTTTCGACTACATTTACGGCACACAAACACGCACATAACATACATACATATGTAAGAGTCAATAAATAAAATAATCGAAAAGCAACATTAACCGGACAGAAGTGGAAAATTATTTTATTTGTTTGTATTTATGTATATTCCTTTGACGCTTGCCTACTTGGGCTTAGCATTGTAAAGTAGCAATTTTTAAAATTAATTTTATGCAAGAAGAATTTTAATTGCTGCTGCTTTTTCACAATTAACGCATGATTATTATGTTTTTATTTATTTTTTCGTTTTTTTTTGTCACGCGTGCTTTTGTGTTGTTGGTGTTTGTGCTTTTCCATTTACGTTTTTACTACATTACATTGTAATTATTTATATTTATTTTATTTACAAATGAAAACCAATTTTATTTATAATTATTTAACACAGGTTTAAAAAATTTACAAATTAATTGTTTGTTTTTTTTTTTACAAAAAATGCTTTTGCTGAATACACGTATTTTTCCGAGTTTTGCAAGTAAAATTTACAGCGCTTACATGCAAGTACATATAAATATACACATACCTACATACACGAGCGGATATGCATGTATGTACATATGTATGTATATGTGCAAAAAAAGTCTTTAATGGAGACCCACTTTCCTAGCCACATGTATACACTACTACGTACTTATGTATATACATGTGCGGACATTTCGAATCGTTTTTTGTTAAGCTTTAAAGCTAATACAAAGTACATACATACATTTGTAATTATATATATAAAAATTAATCATAAAATTACAATAATCTAAAGCTGCTTTTGAAAAATTACAAGTTAACGTTTTTTTTTAATACGTAAACTAATCACGAAAACAGTTGCCTACTTTTTTTGTTACGGAAATCGATAGCAAAGCCATAAGGGTTAACGCACACGGAACCGCGAACGACGAATATCGGCTACGACGGAATTTAATTTAATTAAATTTAATGAGGGCGGTTGATGGTGCTCATAATAAGTCGGATAGTCAAAGGAGGGTTTTCACTACTGGAAATATTTTTTCACATATAATTCGAAAGAAAAAGTTACCAAAAAAATGTATGGATTATCTCAGTGGCCGGTATTCTGGGTAATAGCAAATATAATTTTTGGTATGGGGCGTACTGAAAATGCCTTCACCCACAAACGAGCCACAATCTTTAGTTGACATTATTTAGTGTAGATTTTTTGGAGCACTTCTTAATTAATTTAGAAATTTTAAAGAAACTTCTAAAGAAAAGCCAGGCGACTCTCGAGACCAGTTAATATTTCTGTAAAAACAATCACGGCGACCTACATATTTTCCGGTGTTCAGAGCATTATTATTATTATTATTATTATTATTATTATTAAATTATGGAGGAAATATTTTTCCACCATTTTGAATGGTAACAACGCTGAACCTAGCCAATGAGCTGAACTCGAGCACCCTGTCGAACAAGACGGAGACGAAGTACCGCCACCCGGCTATGGCGAGGTACGAAGAGCAACTCTGCGGCTGAAAAAAAAAAATCAAAAAAGAAATAAAGCCACGGGAGCTGACTACCTGCTAGAAATTAGACAATTAGAAAAACGACAGGCATGGTTTACTGAGCTGGGCCAAAATCGCTTAGCCAGTTAAAGCGCCATACAAGAAGAAGAATAATTTTAAAGAATAAATTTTTGCAAGTAAAACGGAAAGTGTTTTCTAAGGTATTATTTGCATTCAAGTCATACACTTTTTTGACAGTAATGCTTGTATTTTAGATACAGGATTTTTTTGGAACATTTTAACCCTCTAACTACTCAGTAGATGTGCCTTTTTTCTCTCTTCGGGGCAAAGCTTAAAACTTACATATAAAACGTGGTTAAAATGTGTCACAAAAATATTTATCATAAAATTCCACTATAAATTTCGAAGCACAGCAAAGCTCTAAATTCGATATGAGCGCAAGAAGTAAGTCAAAACTTCAAACATGTCTGTATTATGAGGATTAAGATGATCGTAACATGAAATACGTAGATACTAATGGCGTTTTCTATTCTCGACAAAAAAAGGCTGCACTTATTCTGCCCTGAGTAAGTGCTGTCAAATTTTCATGTTCTTTTCTCAGCCCTTGCACAGGGCGTCATGTTCTCTTGATCCGGGTGAGGGTGAGAGTTGAACGGTTGATTTTTAATTTACGCTTGTAAAAATAAAATAATTTTTCGTATCCGAAATAAGGGCTTTCCTATGAAATTAATTAAATGCCCACAGTGCAAGTGAAAAATTCAGTTCTATTCAGTTCTATAAATGAACTTGTGATGGAGTATCATATTTTCTGTTTCATTCTCATATAAAAAGCGCAACATTTTCTTAGGCGTCAGGGCAATGTAAAGCAAGAGCTCCTATATAAAAGGCCAAAACTTATTCTTAGAAAAGAAAACGCTATAAAATACTAAACGGTAATGTAAAACTTAGAGCAAGTAATGCAGCAGAGCAACTAGGGCGAAGAAAGCTGCTGAATTTACTTCTACGGATTTTATATCAGAGGCGACCAGAGAGATCTTTTACTCTGTATGCCCAGTTTCAGTTTCTAAGGGTACGTTCATACAGCAAGCGGAGCCGAGCGGAGCGAGGCCGTTCCGAGCTGAGTGAAGCTGTCAAATTGCGGTAGCTATATGATAGTGCTCATACAGCAAGCTTTTTCAAAAACGTTTTTGAGCTGAAAGTAAAGCAGTTTTTGATTTTGAATTTTCTATTTAATTTTTTAGCCTTTTAACGCTGATGCAAACATGATATCAAAATATTCCAAGAAAAACAAATTTTACAACCAATATTTTGAATAAAATTTAGCAAATATTTTTTCCGCTTTTCATTGAGGGCCATTTTTATGGTATCTTTGCAGCCGAGTCCATCAGAAAAGCTTCGTTCAGTGTGAACACCAGCAGCTTAGCCATATTCCACCTTGCTTTGCTCGCGGCGCCGCTCGGCTTTATGTGTGAATGCACTCTTAGTTATAAGAAAATCGTAAAAAATATTGAACAATAAGTGTTTTTTTTTCTTCGTCTGAATGCCAACTTGTTTCTGTACAAACTATTTATTTTATCAGTTCACAAAAGTGGCCTGTCTCACTGTGGTCAGAATATTTTCCTCAAAGCGCTCAAGGGTTTAATCATTATCGGACTTATAGAAAGCCTCGCACCCAAAAGCTTTTTTTAAAGTCTGACCGAAACTGCTTACGGATATCACTTGAAAATATTGTAAAGGAGATAGTTTCTGATGCACCCATACAAAATAAGCGGAAAATTACTCTCTACGCAGTAGAGATTTACGCCATTAGCTCATACTTCCCGTTTTTTTTTTTGCAAAGACCATTCAATTTCACGACAGTGTATTAGTATATGTATCCAGGTAAACCTCAACTTTTTTTTTTCTTCGATATTTTCTATACGTAGTCCCAGTAGTCGGCTTGAGAGCCAGTAGTCAAATATTTTTCTGAGTCTTCTAGAATTTTATTATTGCTCCTACTGAAAGCCGAGTAAATGTTACGAGTTTTTGATTTATTATTCCGCACTCTACGCTTTTCTACTTTCGCTAATACTTTTTCTTATAGTTTTCGGGTCTATTCAAACTTCCTTTATTGTTAGTCTCTTGCTCGTTAGTCCACAGTAACTCTCTTGCTCTCCTTCTCTTCTCTCAACTCTCCTCTCCTACTCTTCTATCCACCCTCCCCACCCTTTATGGCCTCACAAACGTGCACATCTCGAAGCTGTTCCTATTCGCCGTCGCAGCCGGATGTTCGTATGCATAATCGAATTTCTCGTAATAGGCGCTGCGGCTTGTGCCACACCAATCGCCCTTGAGCGTATATCAGTGACAGCGTCTTAAACTACCGTTGTTGTTGTTATTATTTCCGCCGCCAACTCCAATTGCCACAACACCACCACCACCACCGCCGCCAAAATGATTGCTGCCGCCTCCTCCACCTATCGTAGCATAACCATTACTGCAGCTGTTGTTATTGTATGCTGCTTGCCGCTGTGCGCCAGTGCCGTTGCTGTTGTTATTAATTAGCTGTCCATTGCGCATGGGCAACGCTGGCGGTGGTGGTGGCGGTGGCGTTGGTGTAATAGCTGTGAGCGCATGATCCAACGGCAGCGAATAATGTGAATTATTGTGTATGTAGTTACTTTCACTTTCACGTGGCGAACGTTCAGCGCCTAGCGTATTGGCATGATTGCCATGTTTTCCGCCGCTGCCAATGCTGCCGTAGGGGCCATTGTTGTGATTGAAATGATCCTGTGTGAGGCGTATGTAACGATCGGCGTTGGTGGTGGCGCGTTGTCCATTCTGATTGGCAAGTTGCTGGCTGTAGGGTGGCTCATTTGAAAGTGAGCTTTCGGCGCTGACGCTGGCTGACGGTTCACGACGTGTGCTGCTTGTGGTGCTGCCAAAGCGTGGCAACGAGGAGAGCGCATGCGCGTGTGGTGGCGGTGGTGGTGGCTTACCATTTGGTAGCTTGTTGTTTGAATTGCTGTTGCTGAGGCTGGTGGTGTTGTTGTTGGTCATCATGTGTATTTGGCTGAGCTGCACGAAGGGCGATTGTAGTTCGCCGGGTAGCGCACCATTGGCGTGCACACCGTTCGGTACTTGCAATTGTTGTAGGGTGTTGGTGGCGGTCGTTGTTGGACCGTTGCTTGTATTCACCGACGCCGTCGAGGTACCCCAACCTCGATGTGGAGGTGGGGGTGGTGCTTCTAGCTATAGTTCGGTGACGGGTATGGGCCGTGAGCCCATATACGGCTGCGTCTGGTGCATATTATAACCGCTGCTGCTGGTGTATGGGATCGTTGGCTGTATACTCAGGCTGCAGGAATGCTGCTGCCGTGTCATGTACTCCTCGTCGGAGCAGGTTTTTTGATATTCGCGTTCCTTGCGACCCAACGCTGAATTGCCCCAGCCGCCTTTGAGCGTTTCGCGTATGCGCCGCCGGCAGCCGTAAATTAGCAGCGATAGCCCGGTTATGGTGGCCGTGGTGACGACGACAACCACAACAATGAGCGCCTGCTGCTTCGAATCGCTGTGCGAGCAGCCGAGCATGGCGGGCGAGAGCTGTGAGAGCGGTTCCTTACGCATGGGCTCCGGGTAGGCGCACATTACCCCGACCAACTTATCATTAGACGAGTTCTTCGACACGAGCAGATTGCGTAGCCAGAGCACTTGACAGTCGCAGACAATGGGGTTGTCGGAGAGGTCGAGTGTTTGCAGATCGGACCAAGGTACCAGGCCCTCAGCTAGGGTGCGCAGATCGTTTTCCTTGAGTATGACGTGACGCAAGTGTGGCAGCCCACCCAATGCATTTTCCTGCACTTCCTGCAACATTTTATTCGATGAGAGATTCAAGTGTTCGAGGTTGGTGTTGGCGTTAAAGGCGCCATTTTGTACGCTTCGCAGCCGCTGAGCACCTGTGATTTCAAGCTTGCGTAACTGCTTGAGGCCGGCAAAGGCGCCGCTACCAATCACCTCAAAATCGTTCTGCCCGAGTAGTAGCTCTTCCAGCCGCTCTAAGTGGCTTAGCGCATTGGTAGGCACCACCTGTAAGCGATTATCAGCCAGATCTAGGTATCGCAAACCGTCCGGCCCCTTCAAGGCCTCAGCAGAGATATTGTGCAGCCCAGCACCACGCAAATCCAAACGTGTCAAGCCCTTTAGATCGATAAAAGCATTGGCTTGTATGGACGTAAACGAGTTTGTACCCAAATAGAGTTCAGCTAAGTTTGGCATTGCTTTGAAAATGCTGGGCGCTGGCACTGTAGTCAATGTATTATCATCCAAGTAGAGTGTACGCAGATTCACCAAACCATCGAAGGCGTGCGGATCGATGCGATTGATGCGGTTCTGTCCCAAATTTAGTTCCTCTATTTTTGACATTTTCGCAAAAGTGCCCTGTTCGAGCTCTGCCAGCAGATTGCCACGCAAGTTAAGCACCGTCAATACGGTTAAGCCCACAAAGGTCATATTGCTGATTTGTCCGATCTTGTTGTGATTTAGATGTAGCTCTTGGAGTTTACGTTGAAATTGGAATGTACGTTGTGGCAATGTGACCAAATCGTTGTAGGAAAGATCGAGAAACAGCAACTCTGCATAGAACTGCAGCGATGAATCGATCGTTTTGATTTTGTTGCTTTGTATCACCAGACGCTGTATGAAGGGATTTAGTGTGATGGGTAGCACATCGAGTGTACCTTCGCCGCAACGCACCACCAGCGTATCGTCATCACACTGACAACTACTCGGACAGTTGGCCAGTGCATAAGCGGGCGTCACTAGCGCGGCAAGAGCACACAGACAACTGAGGAATAGGGTTAAGGTATGCATGCATCTATTGCTTGTATGACACCGGAATCGTGAGCAAGCTGGTGTGCCTTTTGGCTTGTTTTGCAGGTTTTTCGGATACATTTTTATTTTTGTCGCTTATTTGATTTTGGTTTGAATTAATTGGTTTGTTAGCTGACTTTATTGTTATGCTTTTATAATTTTATACCAGCTTTTTTGAACATAAGTTCTCGGCTTTTGAGCCGTGCTATTGAATAATGTCGAGTGTGTTGGTTTGATTGAAGATAACTCCAAGGCTTCATTCGAAGTATGTTGGTAACTGAAATGAAAGAAGAAATAATATAAATTAGAGCATTTACCAAACGATTTATGTATATGTCTAGAGTTAATACTTAGCATTAACAAATTTCGGAATATACGACCCTGCTACAAACTTGTCTCTAATATATGACCTTAATAGTCCACTATAGCCCTCAAAAGAACTTTTTTAGAGCAGTATTAGCCTCATTACACCAAAAAAGACTTAATCGAGCCTTTAGCCTGGTAAAAAGTACAGCGATCTAGAAGCCTAAATTTAATTTTAAAAGAAAGCTTCTGGCAAAAGACTCTTTCACAAATCCTTCTGTCAAGATTCGAGTCATCAATTACAACAAAAACAAGAATTTGTTCGTTCATAAAGAAACGAATTAACGTCAAACATACCGATGCAAGGTTTTGCTAGTTGCGGATTGGTATGCCGAATGAGAAACTAAAGAGCGATAGAAGAGCCGAAAGCAGCAGCTGCAATGGTGGTAACGGCCACCGTCGCGATAGCGAGCAGCGCTGTGCCGATATCGGTGGAAAATCGGGTATTCTCGTAGGTAGTTGATGTCGGCCGACAAGTGAAACATCTGCTAGATCGCCCGCTTATTTGCAATCAGGGTAAGATTACTGGTGAAGTGGTGTGATGGTGAAGGTATTAGTGAAAGCAAGTTAATTCATTGATTGATTAATCGGTGGCTCCAGACAAGCACTTTTGGTTCCCTCAGTGGCTCTAGACAACAATTTGAGTATCGGTAAGAGATACTAGTTACACTTGTGAATAGTTCGGTGGCACCAGAATAAGAATATCGAGTATCGATGAGGACCTATAGATATACAATGTACATACATACTTTAGGATTCACTCGATGGCTCCAGACAACGGTGAATAAGTCTGCTGCATATTAAATAAATGGGCAATTTTTAACAAATCCCTGTAGGAATGTTTGCAGCTCTCAAGAAAAACGAAGAATTTATATAAATTGAAGAGAAATTTTCTTCTATCACAATTTCTTAAATCAGTTTGCAGTTCTAAAGAAAAAAATCTTTACTATAATAAAACCGTAGATTGTTTGTCTGTTTGAATTCACTAATCTCCGGAACTACTGAATGGATTTTCATGGGGCTTTAACTGGTATATAGAGAGTGACCTCGGACGTAACCAGGGTATACAAAAATTAGATCTGACAAGGGGCGTGACACCTCACATAGGCGTGACATTTTTAATCAGCTATAACTTCGAAACCGTAAGTCACATGACTTTGAAATTTGGTGTGTTGACATACATATCTATGGTAGATGCTTATAGTAAAGTACATATACTTTTGTAAAAGGGGCGTGACACATCCAATAGGAGTGATATTTTTAATCACCCATAACTTCGGAATCATACGTCACATGAATTTGAAATTCTGCTCTGCTTCGTAAAATATACTTTAGCAAAAAACGGTGCCGACAGATGGTGTCGGAGTCAAGATATTTAGAGAACCCGTCTTTATCGTATGACCTGGATTAACATAGATTGCGCTGAAGTCACGGTATTTAGATGTCCCCCTGCAATTTTACATTTTAGATAACTTAATAAAGTCCCATTCTTTAAGTATGCATACAAAGAAGCGCAAAATTGTTTAAGCTTCACATATATCCTAAGCACATCAACGGGTCATCGGGGGTGCTGAGTTAGAGAGAACACGGTAGGAACATCAATGACCCCGTTTGAAGGGGAAAACTCTTTCATCCTGTGGAACAGCAGGATTATAGATTACGCACTCTCGGTAAACCTTGCAATACTTTCAGATATCTCACAGCAGGAAATAAAAGCTCATAGCATCGAAGGAGATTAGTACTTAACCCAAATGTTATTTCAGCGCTATTATTCTTGGCCTATGAGTTAGCAAGGTTCTGCTCTGCAGTCCCTTCAACATAAACTAATAATTTTTACATTACAAACCGTTTTTGCTTAGCAATACTATTTTTGTTCTTATAAGGCGTTGAAAAGCAAGCCAGGCATTTACTAGTGCTAGAATATTTACTTCAAGAAAATTCACAGCAAAATCAAAGTCATTTTTCAGCCAACGGAAATAATGAAAAATATTTCTTGTGATTTTTCTTGAGAGCTGCAAACAGAAATATTTTTGAACAGAGTTGCCACCTATTTTGAAACGCTTATTTATTTAAATTTTTGTTTATTAAATAAAGATACCATATTACTATTCATAGACACAAAAAGGAGGCTTTTAAATAATACTTTGCCTACACACAAAGTTATATCCCTTATGATATTAGTATAAGGTTGCCACTTATTTTCGATTTCATAAAATCGTACGAAAACAGCGCAAAATATGGATATCAAAGTAAAGATATTTTTGAGATGTTTAGTCCAAAAATATTTTAGATAAGAGTTGCCAGGTTTTTTTTCGAAATACAAATTTGTATCTTATGAACTTGAATGAGAATTTTTTTGCATGTACATACATGTTAGGGATGTTGCGAATATGAAATTTTAGACATCCCCGGATGCGAATGCGGACGCGGAAGTTTAAATGCTAACATGTAATGCGGATGTGAAGTATTTTTACGAAAAACTTAATCAAGTTAAGTAAATTAGGCGATTTAGGTAAATAAAAAAATTAAATAGTTAGTAATTTTTAATAATATATGTTTTATTAAGTATGTACTTGAATTTAAAAATTGGAACATTGCCTTTCCATGCTGCATCGTGTTTTTAAAGGGTCGTAAATCAAGTCGGCCGCTGTGGTGTAGTGGTAAGCAGTGCGCGTTTTCACTCTTTCAGCAACTGGGTACAAGCCCTGGTCAAAGCAACATCGCAAAACATATAGAAACAGGTTTTTTCTTAACTGCGGTCGTCCCACGGCAGGCAATGGCAAACCTCCGAGTGTATTTCTGCCATGAAAGACAGCTTCTCATAAAAATACAACCGCCGTTCGGAGTCGGCGTAAAACTGTAGGTCCCTTCGCTTTGTGTGACAACATCAAGGCGCACGCCACAAGTCGGAGGAGAAGCTCGGCCAAACACTATCATATGAGTAAGCTCCAATCCATCATTATTATTAAATCAAACCTGCGCCACTTAATAACTGCTTGCTCGAAGCGACAAATATCTGCGTGTGAAACTTGACAATACATTTTTAATTAATTTTTGATTGACGCTGCACCAGTTGAGCGGACTCTCAGTTATATACATTTTTTTTATTGCAGTGCAAGAATAATTCCTTTTTGAGAATTGCAATGGGGCTGAAAATGTCGGATGTAGCCTCCTGACTTTCATCTTCGCTTGAAGAATCTAGCCTCATGCCAAGATGTCATTTAAACACCGCTTACAAGCCAAACCAGGTATGTCAGGTTTTGCTAAAGCTTTCTCAAAAGACATCTTCATTATAATTCCTTTGGCTGTTTCAGACTTTGGAGAACATGTAACGGCATCAGCGTTTTTCGATTTTAGTTTTTGTAAATAATTTTTAATCCTTTCTTCTGCGAATGGTTTGAAAAATGTGTGCTTATAGCGAGCTAAAAAGATGGATTTGCCAAATAAATTACTATTTTCCAGGAACGAAAATTTCGAGCAAATTCTGTTTCCAAAGTCGTAGCTGCAAGCCGAATCGGATCAGAATCTTGTTATTTTTTTTAAAAAGGCACACTTTTTTATGAATACTTGAATTATTGGGATCACGGATGATGAGGGTCTCAGAGCTGCTTAGTCCCGGGTGGCTTCTTCGAAAGGTTTACCTTTCCGCTCAATGCGTTTTCATATTTTGAGGAAAATTCAACGCAATTTTTCAACAAATATTGCATGCCACCTCCTGCTCCTCAATATATTAATTTCGCCCTGAATTGATCCTTTTTTTATATGTTTCTTTCACATTACATTTTATCTTTATTTCGTTACTTGCTGATTTTGACAATTATCATAAAATTTAAGTAAATGTTGTTTTCGAGCTGAAGACGGCGCACAAATGATTATTTGCATAGTAAACACTTCTTCTGGAAATCCCTGTTGAAGGAGCTTAATCCATAACATTAAATAGCAAAGGAAGGGGGACGTAGGGGACAGTTTTAGGGAGATAATAAAGAAAAACTGAGTTTTTATAAATTTCTTTCAGATACTTTAATACCTTAAAATCAAAACTTTTCAGCCTCCGCTCATATACCTATGTTTGTGTGCATACATATATCATAATGTTAAAAAATAAATTTAATCAAAAAATATTTACAATATAAAGCTATCCAAATGACCGCTATTTGATACCCAAACCTTGAAGGCTTAAACATTATCAGAGAGTCGAAACAAATTTTAAATTTTTTCTTAAATACATTTTGCCATTTACCCGCTAATAAACATTACAAAACTTTGCCGGCGTTGAACAAGCTCCGGCTTTAAATATCATGCTTCCATAGCGAGCTTTAAATAAATGCAAAAAACATACCGCGCTTGCGCTGCTCATATTCATACGCCACGGCGTATACGTAATATAAATTTTCAGCATTTTGTTCCTTCGGCTTTCGAATTCATGCCTTTTTCTTTTTTTTTGCGTATATTCCGTTAAGGCAATGTTTAAAGTAAAGGAAGAATGCATACAAATTGCTGTGCAAAGAACCTTTTTTCGTGCAGGAATTGAGTAAAGTATGGCGGATTGAGAGAGCTAAGTTGAATGGTTTTTGGCCAAACGTTCGGGCGACCCTTAAGCGCTGCGAAAATATCAATCTTTTATGAGTAAGTATGTGCGTAAAATGCAGATTTTAAACTGATGGCATCCTTCCGGCCTGTATAACTTCCTGCCAGTCTGTATGTTCGTACGTCCGGCTGTCGGTCTGTTGCCATACATACATATGTAAGAAAGGCAAGGCTTGTTTGTGTACTGTTGCACCAAGCTCCTTAAGGTGCTTTCGAAGCTACGTACTCACCAAACTGCTACCACAAAAGCTGGCTTGAAATTCTTGTTGCTGCTATTTTTTGTTCATTACATGTATGTATGTGCATATGTATGTGCGCGCTCGGCTC